TGGGAGGGAGGGAGGGGGTGTGGGGGGGTTTAGTACCAGTTGATTATATGGTGGGTATTGTAAAATGTGTTTGTGGTTGTGTTTCTGTGAACGTTGAAGCTCGTTTTCTGTTTCTACTGTGGCTTTTTAAGTATGCGACGAGTTCTGCAGTTGATAGTGGATGGAAAATATCGAAATAAACCTCTCTCGTTTCTTCGTGTGCAAATTTGTATGTTTAGCTGCCAGGAGGCTTTCTAGGAACAAGGCGAGTGTAAGGTGGCTTGTTTTCATAGGGTGGGAGAAAAAAAAAAAACCAGAAAAGAAATTTATTTCTGCTGTATCTCTGAACGACCCAGCGCAAATCTGATTTCAGAAGCGCTAACTCGTGTGTCCTTAGCGTCAGGTTTTGTGAGACCACTTTTATCTGCTGAACAGAGATTGCTCTGGGAAGAAGCGATAGGCAGATTTGCGTTTTTCTGGGAAGTGTTCCTGCTTCCCCCCCCTCCGCCCCCCCATGATCCAGAGATAAGGATCAAGTAGCTGCGCCTCGGTGCACTGAAACTTCCACCACTTCAATTCCTCTTGAAAGGGGTAAAAAAATAAATTAAAATCTTCCACTCGACAAGAAACCAGACTTTAAGTGTTTAAGACCATTCGTCAGAAAGTTTTTTTGGTTGGTTTTGTGTTTGTTTTTTTTTAATGCCTAGACTTTCTCGTGTAAAACTTTCCATCATGAAGTAGCTCCTTGGGGCTGCAAAATTTAACTGTTCTGTTGCCGGAGGGAGTTAAATGTAACCAAACTTCACCCTGTGTCAAAGCCCCTAATCTCCTTCCTCGAAACTCAATTAAGAAAAGCAGTTTCGGAGACATTTTGAGCTGGGGGAAAAAAGTTGGTGGCAGCAGGCTTATTCCTCTAAATCGGGATTTATTTTAAACAAAAATGATAGTGGGTCGAAAAAGGTGATTTAGCTGTGCTTAAGCTGGGCAGTCAATTTTTTCAGTTTTGTTTGATTCTTCTCAAGGATGGATGAATTTCAAATCTGCTTCATGCTGAATTGGTGTGTTCCTCATATCTCGAACTGAGTATGGACTTGCCTAAACCCTCATTACTATATTTTTCAGAAGCGTATCCGTGACTTAATTGATGTTTGCAACCCATCGGCCACTAGGATTTAGAAACGTTTTTCACTTTCCTTAGAATTGTGGTAAAGAGCGGATATTTTTAAGACGACAATATAAGGTTCTTTTTAAATAGAATTTAAAATGTTAGTTCATTTTATTAGGAAATATGCTTACTTAAAAAATGTTGGAAAAACTGTCTTCTGTAGCATCAGCCCGGATGTATTTTCCAGAGATGTTTAATGCTCCAGAATAAAAATCGATTTTAGAACAACAGCACCTATATGTCATTGTGTTATACTGCTTCATCTAAAATTTCAGAAATATTTTCATTGTGTTTTCCTGCGTTCTTTAGTGGCTCGTTAAGTGTATTATAAGAATCAATTTTTGCTTAGGTTAAAAAAAAAATGTCCAGCGACAAATGGAAATCATTCCTCTCCGGTGTAGCAAGTGCTTACTTGGTCCCATGCAAACTTGCTGCGCTTCTCAGTATTTTTTATTTTTGGTTTTTAAATTGGAGACCGTTAATTTCTGGTTACATTTACCGGTGGTTGGTTGGCTGTTAGTTTGCATGTTTATTTGTTTGTTTTGGAGGGTTTAGTCTTTGCATTCCCGCATCAGCCTTACGGGACCAGAAGTAAAGGCGCAGAGTGGACTAGCTTTATTTGACTTTCTTTGGTTTATTCCCCTACCGCCCAAGGAAAACTTTGCTAAAGAAAAATTAGAAACCCAAAACAAACAGTGGGAAACCCCACCCCGCTTTCCCTGCTTGGCATCACCTCGGATTTGACACGCGGTTCCTTTTTCCAAGGGCTCAATGAGCGGTTCCTATAATTCCTTCTCTAAATTCGTTTGACATTTTATTGCTCATGAAGAAATACAGGCGTTTGGAAAGTGTTTCTATCTCTATATTTAAAAAACAAACAAACCCTAAGACCTGCTCAGCCCTGCAGGAAGCAGGTAGTGAGAAATATAACCGAGAATCTCTTTCCACTAATTTTTAACATAATGGGCGCTCTAAAGGGCAATATTTCACTTCCTAAAAAAATCCTTTCTTTGGGGCAGCTCTGAAAAGAAAACAAAAGAAGAAGAAAGATATTTGGAGCTTACTGAGAGAAGAGAGAGAAAGGGAAGTAACTTGTCATAAAAAAAAGGAAAATTCAGTGCAGTGTGCTGCAATAAAAGAATATGACCGCTATAAAACTTTATAGGGTATAAATTTCTGAAGGTTAAGGAACTAAACGGCTGTAAAGCAAACAGTGCAAGAAAACTTTCAGGAACTCCTAAATTACTACAACGACTTGGGAATGTGGGGAAACCCAACGTGTAAATGCTCTTGTTTCTGCTTCAGTCACATACAAAGTCCCCCTCTTTTTTTTTTTTTTTTTTTTTCCCCTAAGGGGGGGGGGGGTTAAAAAATAAGGGGGAGGGGGGAGAAGAGAGGGAGAGAAAAGGTGGGGAGGGACTTTTGCTAATTTATTCTTCTCTTGCAGATGCCGTGAAAATCCAGCGCTCTGGATGATTCCCTTTGTTCTTTTTTTTTTTCTCCTTTCCCTTTTTTTTTTTCTTTTTTCCTTTAAAGCAATTCCAGGCTGCCAGAATGCTGAGCCACGCACACAACAACAACACACACACACACACAGGGGCACCCCCACGCTCACACACTCGAAGTTCTGGCGAGACGTCTGGGCTTGGGAAGCTCTTTATCGGTTTACAGCTCTGGCCTTCCCCCTCCAGAGCAGAATGACCAATTGTTTAGTCTCGGAATTTGAAACAATAGCGGTTTTCAAAAGCAAACCCGTTTTGCCTCTTTTTTTTTTTTTTTTTATTGCCGGGTAGAGCGACTGGATGGTGGAGCTTTCCGCGCGTAAAACTTGGGGCGAGGAGGGAAAACTCCATTTTACTTCTTTTTCCTCCCTTTTTCCTCCCTCCCCTCGCTTTTGGCTAGTTTGATTTCCCCAGGTCCTTCATCCCCCCCCCCCCTTTTTTCTGCTCCCCCCCCTCAGCA